GCAAATTAGTGAGGAATGTAACAATTGATAATAAGAGCTTCTTTAAATATATAAAAAGAAAGAGAGAGGTCAAAGTGAACATTGGCCCCTTAGAAAATGAATCCATGGAGACGATTCTGGGGAGCAAAAAATGGCAGAGGAGCTAAACTGATATTTTACATCAGTCTTTACAGTTGAAGGTACTTAGAACATCCTATTAATACTAAAGAATACAGGGGAGGAATTAATTACCATCACCATAATTAAAGACGTAGTATTAGGCAAACTAATGTGGCCAAATGCAAATAAATCCCCCGGCCCTGACGGCTTACGTCCTCAGACCCTAAAAGTGGTAGCTATAGGGATAGTGGATGCATTGGTTGTAATTTTCTAAAAATTATTGGATTTTGGATAAGTACCAGAGAATTGAAAAACTGCCAATGTGAGGCCTTGATTCAAAAAGGGAGAGATGCAAATGGTAGGTAACAATAAGTCAATTAGCCTAACACTAATTGTCAGAAAAATGTTGGAATCTATTATTAAGGAAGTAATAGCAGAACAATTGGAAAATCATAATCCAATCAAGCAGAGTCAGCAAGCCTTCATGGAAGGGAAATCTTATCTAAATTATTAGAGTTTTTCAAGGAAGTCTCAACCAGAGTTGATAGAGGGAAACCAATAGATGTGTTGTTTTTGCACTTCCAGAAGGCATCCAAAAAGGTACCTCACAAAAGGTTAAATCATAAGATGAGTCCATGATGTTGAAGGTAGGATATTGACATAGGTAGAGAACTAGCTCATGGGCAAGAAACAAGAGTGGATAAAGGGTTCTTTTTCAGGTTGGTGACCCATGACCAGTGGGGTTCCACAGGGATCAGTGCTGGGGCCACAACTGTTTACAATCTATATTAATGACTTGAAGGAAGGAAATGAATATACGATAGCCAAATTTGCAGACGACACCAAAATGAATGACGAGGCAGATTGTGAAAGGGACACAAACACAAACAAGAGAGATTTTGATACATTAAGGAAGTGTGCAGAAAGTTGGTAAATGAAGCATAATGTGGGAAAATGCAAAGTTGTTCATTTTGGGAGGGAGAACAGAAGAACAGAATATTATTTAAATGGAGAAAAACAGCAGAAAGCTACAAAATTAAAGGGATTCGGGAGCATTTGAGTATGAAGCACAGGAAGTTAGCATACCAGTGTAGTAAGCAATCAAGGAGGTTAATGCAATGTTGGCCCTCATTTAAAGGGAATTGGAGTATAGGAGTCGGGAAGTCTTACTGCAACTATACAAGGCGCTAGTGAGACCACATCTAGAGATCTGTGAGCAATTTTGGTCCCCTTATTTAAGGAAATAAATCACTTTGTTGGAGTCAGCTCACAGAAGATTCACTAGGAAAATCCCTGGTATGGAGTTGGGATTTTACTCACTGGAGTTTACAAGACTGAGGGGTGATCTGATTGAAAGATGTTGGCTTGACAGGGCAAATGTTGAGAGGATTTTTCCTTTCATGAAAGAGTTTAGGACCACAGGGTATAGTCTCAGAATAAAGCGGCGCCAATTCAATACTGAGATGAGGAGGAATTTCTTCCCTCAGGGCTGAGAGTCTTTGGCACTCCTTGCCACAGAGAGCACTGGGAACAGAGTTTTTGTGTATGATTCTTGATCAGTAGGGAATCATGAGTCATGGGGAAAGGGCAGAAATGGATGTTGAGGAATGTTGAATCAAGCCATGATCTTATTGACTGGCAGAGCAGGCTTGAAGGGCCAAATGGCCTAATCCTATTCCTATTGCTTATGGTCTTATGGGTAGGGCAAACACCAAACACAGAGAACTCGCAAATGCTGTGGAGCAAACCAAACCTCACAGACATGAACAGTACCCATTTTTAAAATGTGAATGCTTTTATTGAAAGAAAGTAGGCTGCTTTTATAAAATCTGTCGAAAAAAGACACAGCCACAGAAAAGCAAAAGATTAGAGAACTACCCATCCCAAGAAATAAATGTTGTTGAACAGTCTCCAGTAGAAGATCAACATGAAGTTTCCCTTAGGAAAATCAATGACCAACATCAAACATTTTGGTATGCAGGCATTTAAATCAATGGACATCTCACGAATTTCAGGTCAGACATGGAACCAAATGTAACAGTAATATCAGATAGCAAGCATTGGTAGACAAAGCATTATTGCCAACAGAGATGTAACTGCCTGGTCCAAGGGGCATTAAAGGTTTCTAAGCAAGTCTCCAGCATAGGGGCACCAAATAACAAAGAAAAACTGTATGTAATTCAGAACCAAGAATTTTCACTCCTGAATATAAGGGTATGTATTGATCTTAATCTCCTGAAAATATGGAAGAGGTTAAACAATAAGAGGTCAAGCAAAAGCTAGTAGAAAATTTTGCTGGGCTCTTTATGTTCCATAAGAGCATAGGAAATAGGAACAGGAGTAGGCCATTCAATAAGATCATGGTTGATCCAAAAGTCCTTACATCCACTTTCCTGTAACGCTTGATTCCCCTGCTGATCAAGAATCAAGCTCATGTGGAACGAAACAAATCTAGGATTGTTTGAGGTTGGTTATGTTGGAATTAAAATAAAATGTTTCATACCATATATGGGAAGGAAAGCTGTGACTATATTGGTGTGATTGAAATGTTTTCCACTGCTATCAAATCAGAAGACAGTTTCAACTTCAAACGGCAACCTGGTTTGGGATGAAGTGCAAGCAACGAGGCATAACTGAACCATCGACATCACTTGAGGGGCTATACAGTGATAGACAATGCAAGTATCTTCAATTAAATTGTGCCAGGTTGCTACATTATATAGTAAATAATTAACTACTCCAAATTCAAGCCAAGGTGTTTAGGAAGGGACATGTTCAAGTAGAGTCTTCAACCTCTCCAAATTCCAAAAAGACATCTTCAACAAAAAAAATTAATACATCATGCAAGAGTTAATCTTCAAATGAGGAAGTGAAGAAGTTGGTTTCATGAATAATTAAATCCACCCTAACGAAACTGCTCAAAGTTTAAAACCACTTCATTAAATCACCACTTAACCTAAATGAAGACGAGGTCCTGATCGTCTTTTCTCTTCAGATATCCAAGACTTTTCATCCCTAATGTCATCCTTTAAGACCTCTTTACACATTGTAGCATGGGCATTTAATTGACAAAATTGATTTTAACATAGATAAGCATAGGAATTTACATTTTGTGAAAATAATAGGGGCAATTATAACTTGAAAAATAAATATCTAAGTTGGTATTGCTGCAGAAAAGACATGTTGTTGAAGCTTTTTACCTTGTACTCATTGGGACAATTCAAAAGAAATTCCAATGTAAAGGAAAAACAATATTCACACAGAGTGGGAGGAGAATGCTGACTGGTGGGCAAGGAGACTGAAATACTAGGACATGAATGGCCCTTGAGGTAGCCTATGATAGAATTTCGATAAGAATTCAAAAGCAAAGTATTAGAATCTCTTGTAAAGAAGGCAAGGTTAATTTAAATTTGGGGACTCTCAGTGTCATTGACATCTGGGGAGCTGCTAAGATAGAAACCACAGAAAAATAACAGCATAAAAAGAAGCCATTCAGCCCACTGTGTCTCCACCCAGCTGAATAAACTGGCCATCCATTCTAATCCCACTTTCCAGCATTTAGTCTATGGCCTTGAAGGTTACAGCAGTTCAGGTGCAGATTCATCTAACGAATTTAAATTAATTGGCAAATTTTAACACGTGGAACTAAAAATTAGCATTTCATGACTTCAGCACTACCTGAAAACTTTCACGGCCTATTAAGTAACTTTGAGTTGTAGTCACTGCTGTAATATAGGGAAAGTGCAACTAATTTATTCACAATACAATCCCACAAGCAGCAATACCATAATGCACAGACAGTTCACTGCAGTGATGTTATTCAGAGGGGGGATACTGACCAAGACTACTCCCTCCTCCTTCTTGGCAGGGTTCTTTTCCCTAAACGCACAGAACAATATATTGAGAGCATAGCATTCCCTCAATGCTGCACTAAGACCAGATCAAAACTTGCAACACTTTTCTAAGACATCAATCATTACAACTTAAGAGCCCAGTGACAGCACGTAGCAATCCAGAAATGAAAGCCCATAAACAGTGTGGGATTTTCATAAATTAACAATGATTGAAATTCTTTGATGGGGGGGTGGTGGAACGTCTGAATGACTCTTGTAGCAGTCTTAACACAATCTTTAAAAATCTTACTTTTCATCTCAGAATTGGTTCTGAAATTTGCATTCTGAGTACACCAACAGGGAATAAATTTTGACAATCCATCAAATAGTATTCCAGGCTGCTTCAAAAAATGCTTAGATAGCTCAGTACAAATTAAATCATGTATATAGGTGTGTACTTTCTAGAAGAACAGGTTCAAAGTGCATCATGAGGTCATTCATAGGAAATGTTAGATTACATGAAAATTCCAAACATGATTGTTAGTTATAAAGTAAGGAAGCCATTCCATTCTCTTGCATTCATATATAAATATATGCAAATATACAAAGAAATGTGAACAGATTATCTTTCAATAACATATCTCAGAAATAATTAGGGTTTGATAAGATAGAGCATTGAGGAGAGGCATAATTTTGAGCTACTGCCACTCATCCTCCTTAGCCAAACTGAACCCCTCCCACAAATGGCGCAGGCTTTTCAAATAGAACAGTTGCAAGAAGCAGGAGAGAAAGAATTATCAATGATTCAGAAAATGTTCAAAAGTAAGACATCACAGAAAATCAGAAGTCAAGACATAGGGTGGGGAGTGGTAGCAAACAGAAAGAAAGAAATGCAAACAGCATGATAGCAGACTTTCTCTATGCAAGTTTTATACAACCAGCATCCATGGTTAGTTGGACACTAAAGGGTATAAGAACATTTTGTTTGGATCACGTACAGAATAATAAACTTTAACTGCTACGATGGAAAAAGGAATACTAAATTACTCTCTAATTGAATTAATTTACCTGCTGGTGGCCAAGCTTTGATGTATCCAGTGCAGTGAACAACTGAATACTGCGACTCTCCTTCCTTGACAGGTCCCAAGCCATTTCTAGGAAAACATCAATGGCGGATTCATTGTTAATTTGACACCACTAATCACAAAGGAACATAACAAGGGTTACTAAAAAAAAGAAATGCGTAATTTCATTACAGCACGGTGACTCAGTGGTTAGAACTGCTGCCTTACAGTTCCAGGGACCTGGGTTCGATTCCAGCCTCAGGCGACTGTCTGTGTGGAATTTGCACATTCTCCCCATATCTGTGTGGGTTTCCTGCCACAGTCCACACACGTGTATGTTAGGTGGATTGGCCACGTTAAATTGCCCACAGTGTCTAGGGTGGGGAAATGCAGAGTAGGGGTGGATCTGATTGGGATGCCCTTCTGAAGATCAGTGTGGACTTGAATGGCCTGCTTCCACACTGTAGGGATTCTATGGATTAGGACGGACTATAGTGGTAATTCCCCCAGACTAGTATTCCAAATTCCCAGACTAATGCTCTGGGAACATGGGTTTGAAATCCGCTGTGGCAGATGGTGAAATTTGAGTTCAATAAAAATGTGTAATATTGGTGACCAGGTAACTATTGTTGATTGTTGTAAAATATTTATCTGGTTTGTTTATGTCCTTTAGGGTAGGAAATCTGCCATCTTTACCCAATCTGACTTACTTGTGATGCCAGAACCACAGCAATTCACTCTTAACTATCAAGGGCCATAAATGCTATCCCTGCCAGTGATGCCCATATTCCATGAATGAAAAAAATCTTCACATGCAGCTAAAATAAAATTAATATTTCATACTTAAAATAGATTAGGGTATCACCTATATCTCTTGCGTAGAACAGTCAGCCTGCTCAATGAGATATGTTCCAAGGGAGCTGTTCCACACCTGCATTTAAAAAATCCATTATAGTTAAGTCATGTCCAATACTGGCACTGCTTTATACTTTAAGCTGTCTGAAAAACTGTATAATCACTGTTGACTGAACTGCAAAGTTACTGTTACAGTCCAGACAGCATTCTAGGATTGTAACTTAAGCACAACATAAAAGATCAATTTCCATTAGTGATACAATGCTTTTGAAGAAATGAAATTTGACAAGATATGAACCATACCTGGTTGTGTGCCACATGGTGAATGGTTTGCAGCAAGAATAATACAGGTAGTTGTTATGCACTTATCAACTAAAAAAATGCTTTTTTTAATATATAGAGCCCTTAACATAAATAGTTTCACAAATAGACACATGATATACCGATGCCAAGCCAGGAAAACAGATGTGGATTGACTGACTGTTCCATCAAAAACTGAAAGGGAAAGAAGTAGAGATCAACAGAAATCAAAATATCAGACAAATACAACTGAAAGTTTTACCAGTGCAGCGAACATACAAAAGACCAGAAGAAGAGAAAGCAACCATACAGGACAGACAGGAGGCTGGGGGAGATTGCCATCAGAAAGCAGGGCATAGTCATGAATGCATTTACAAGGACAAAGATTTCAAATTTATTGCATTGTAGTCAGGATGTTCGAAGTAAAAACTAAATCAATGAAAACAGTATGAGGGCGAGTGGAACATCGAGCAATTCAAGCAGCAGACATTTGGAAAAACTGGAGTTTGTTGAGAGTGGCAAATGGAAAGCTATGAAGAAGAAAGTTTAAATAATGAAATGTGGACAATGACAAGTACAAGGGTTTCAGTAACAGAAGTGTGGCATAGAAGGCAGTCAATATTGCAAGGTCAAATCAACAGACTTATTGATAGGATGAATCTGTTTAAAAGCCAACAGCAAAACCACATAGTTAAAGTTACTGACCTACTAATCAAGTTTATTGTAAAAGGTCAAATCATACATAAGCAGAAATATATCAAATCAGATACCAACACAATATACAATTTTCATCATTTCTTTTTATTGGCAGCAACACAAAACCATAACACGCTTCAGTTTAAAACTTAGAAATCCCCGAGTGGGAAGATTTTTTTTAGTAAATGCTTAGAAGGGTTTGTCAGAGAAGATTATTATTTTAAAGTGGATTCAAACCATTACAATAGTATACTTTATCAAAGGCACTGGTTGTATATTTTAGAAGGGAAAAATATTGCAGACAAAGGGAAAGACATAGGACGAGAGAAAAGAGTGGCACATTGAAATTCATTATTGATTGTTTGTGCAAATAGCGACCACCAATATACAGACCAAATGGCCTCTGCCCATTTTGCAGTTTGATTGTTTTCCTAAGCTCTTATAATTTTAGAAAGTTATAAACATGGCAATTGGAATCCATAGAGCCATCACCCAATCATGTGTAGTACAAGGGAGCAAACTACACAAACTGATCTACAGCACAAAATCTTACCACACTTTATTTCAGATTCAGGCAGTTTCTGGCTATAGAACTGCTAGAACAACTCCATAACAAAAACAACATATACCTTATTAAACAGAAATGCTATTTTATCACAGAAAAAACAGTATCCTTAACTGATAAATTACCAGATAAAACAAGATGGCATAATTTCTCACATTCTAGTTGCATTCTCAGCAGGTGTTTTGAGTAAAAAGGCCACTTTAATTTCAAACATTCTATTCATCAATTTGAACAAGTAACTCATGAGTAGAAACTTAATGGATCCTCGCAACTTCAGTAATTCAGAACTGAAATGAAAGCTTTGAAGGGAAAAAAATCAACTCTGGTTGCATTTTTTAAAGGCAGAATATTACAGTATTAGGAGACAGTAGGTCAGTGAAAATAACAAAGTGTAGAGCTGGATGAACACAGCAGGCCAGGCAGCATCAGAGCAGCAGGAAAGCTGACGTTTCAGGTCTTCTTCAGTTCAGACCCTTCTGACCCCCCAGGTCGGTGAAGCATGTTTTGGATTGCTTTAACGTTGCTGGCACAGAAATGTAGGTGTTATTGCTCCTTCACTGTAGCGACAAGACTGAGCAGGCAGCGGCAGAATGGATACAACACTGGCTAAGATAGACAGTAGAGTAGCAGTGAGTGGCTATTTTTCAAACTGGAAATGTCCCCCACTGATCAGTATTAGGACCACTGCTCACTTAGCTATAAATTAATGACCTGGATTTGGGTACGAAGAGCAAAGTTTCAAAATTCACAATTGACATGGCATTCAAAAATATACTAAACAATGAGAATAGCAACAAACCTCAGGAGGACGTAGACTGACTGTTGGAATGGGAAAGTATGTGACAGATGAAATTTCATGCAGAAAAGAAGCATGAAGTGATGCATTTGGGTAGGAAAATTGTGGTGATCTAATTTTGCAATTACAATTTTAAAGGGGTGGAACAACGGATAGACATGGATGCCCAGAAATATATGAAGATAGTAGGACCAGTTGAGAAGGTTCTTAAAATTGTGTAGAAATCTTAGCTTTACAAACAGAGCATAGGACGAAAATGAGTAAATAATGCAAACATTAAAAATCACAGGTTAGGTCACAGTTGGAGAAGTATGTTCAATCCCAGGCGCCACATTTCAGGAAAAATGAAAGCTGATCCATGAAAAACAGGACCATTCCAGACTGGCTAATTAACACCCCATTAGTATACTCTCAATCATCAACAGTGATGGAAAACATTGTCAATATTGTTATGAAGCAACATTTAATAAACAACTGCTTACGGGTGCTCAGTTTATGTTACACCAGAGACACATGGCTCCTAGCCTCATTACACCCTTCGTAGAAACATGAATAAAAAAGTGGAATTAAAGAGGTGAGAGTGAATGCCTGTGACATCACAGAGTCCTAGCAAATTTGCAGTAAATGGACATCGGAGGAAAGGTTTCCTTTGACCACAAGTCCATCAGGAAGTGGTCAGCACGTAGCATCCTTGAAATCCTGAGGGAAAGGAGACCGTGGATCCTGTTACGTGGTTTCCCTGAGAAGACTGTCACAGTCATTTGGCAGAATGATTCATCACCAAAACTTTCCAACAAGCAACAAGACATCGCCTGGCTGGTGAGAAGGGCACTACCTGTGAGATCCTTCATGTATGCCCGGTCAGCCTGTGCCACCACACGCTGCCCTTGAAGTGGCTGTTTTGGGTGGGGTCATTGAGACTGTCACACGTCTCCTTCTGGAATGTGCCTTTGCGAAGGAAAGTTGGAGGAAGATGCAGTAATTTTTGTCGAGGTTCGTCCCGAGCAGCTCCGTGACATGGGACTCTGTGCTCTACAGTTTGTTCCCTGGGACACACACCACAACAAACATTAACTGCGCCTGGAGGACTATCAACTTGGTGAAAGGTGCTCTTTGGTTTGCCCGAAACTTATTGGTCTTCCAGAACAAGGAGTTGACCCCAAATGAGTGTTGCAGACTGGCACATTCTATGGTCCAGGACTACATGCTGTTGGACACACTGTAGCTTGGGGCAGCTGCTACCAAGGCACAATAAGGAAAGACCACCATCTGCGGTCTTCCTGCTGAAGGTAAATGGGGGTCCGTTCAGTTATTGGACCCTCCTATAGCCTCAAATATATGTAAATATTAGGTTTGTGTAAGAGAGGTCTTTGGTTTTGTTGGAATAGTCAAAGTTTAACATTTTGTTTGTTTGCTTGATAAGCAACTGTGCAGAACCAAATTGCTTTGTAACAATGTACATATACAAAGTTTTTTTTTGAATAAAAGTATATTTTTGAAATAAAAAAAATCTCCACTCCTTGGAATCTTACATAGCACAAAGGAAGATGCTTGTGGTTCTGGGAAGACATTCAGTTCCCAGGGTACTGCCCTAAGCCTAGCCAGGGCTGAAATAACATGGCTGTGGCGGGTAAACTAGTTCTTGAAACTCTCAAGAAAAAACAAACATACTGGGCGTGAGAGTGAGTGCGTTTGAGTGAGACGTAGAGTGTGAGAGAGAAAGAGGGAGAAAGGAATTCAAGAAAGGTTGCCCTCATGTATATTAGCTTACATTATGGCTTAACAATTGAATTAATCTCAGTTACAGGAAAGTCATGCAGACTTTGATTCAAGTAGGAGCCAGTGCGGAAGAGACAAAATCTGAGAGGAGTGGCTTCTCCAAACACAAGTTCTAAAAATCCCATGGTCACTGCTCCAGCTCATCCAATCATAAATTCTCTCTTTTCCACTCGTCATTGCTCCTCCAGAGACTGAAGCTAAAGCTCAGGAGCAGCAACAGTGCGATGGAGGAAACATGTAAATTAAGCTGAGGAACAGTTATCCTAGTCAATGAGTACAACTTATTCAACATCCTCCAAGACCAGGAAACTGAGAAGGGAGAAGTGGAGAAGGACAAAGGAAAGGTTAGGTATCTGGAAATCAAGTAACAAGTCCAAGAGCAGACCTGAAGGAACTATGTGTTCTAAGACAGCAGTCACTGGAGAGATTTTATTTTATTTTGTTGTAACCCTGTAGTGACGGAGGATAGGGTGGCATTTTAGAAGCAGGAGTAGGCTATCAAGTCCTTAGCTTGAACTCCTTACTTCTGTATTGAATTCCCTACAATAAATGATAACTTTCTATTAGATTTCCTAATTAATTGTTTTACCTCCATACTAGCCTTTTTAAGAACATGCATGAAAGCACCAACAATCTTTCACAAGATGGGATTGTCCCCATTCTTCTCCCCCTGAATAGATGACCCAAAGTCTGGCACAGTGCAGGCAACAGAACCATCTGGGCCCATGTTTAAACTGCACACCCTTCATAATCTGAAATCTCTTACTATTTACATAATAAGGTTCCTTTTCATTCTCCTTATCATGTGGACAATTTCACATTTTCCCACATTATACCCTACTTACCAGATATTTGCCCATTCATTTATCTTATATATTACACAATACTATATTATTATATTATATTTTTGTAGACTCTTTATGTCCTCTTCATAACTTAC